TTCCTTATGTTCCTAACTACTGCTTCCTTTCCTTCATCTTCCTTTCTCTGCTGCTGATTGTTCCAATAATGAGCATTTCATGACTTTAGGGAAATAAAGAGGAGTAAAAGATCAAGCTTTGGTTAAAGGTGTTTATTTTTTCAGGAATCATGTCATCATCATAAAATAATCTGATCTCCATAATAAAATGAGTCCAATCAGGATTCCCATAAATAACAGCAGAAGGAAGGAGCTCCAACAATTTTCCCTTTTTACCTTTGTTCAAGTTAAATAAAATGTTTGTTTTTTTGTAGAAATCAGACTTGAAGCTTTCAGCTAAAGTTGTTTCATATATGCTGTAGTCCTACTGTGGCCCCCAATCAGGCCCCAATGCACCCTGCTCCACATAGACCCCCTCCCTGTGAGATTTAAACAATACAGTGAGTTTCCCTTTAAGTCCTGGTGCTAGTGTTGGTCAGGGGGCCCAGAGAATGGGGGCCAATTATCATCAGGCAGGGCCCCTGTGGGCAGAGAGGGCCCCTCCCTCAGTGTGTGTCTCTTTATTCTGCTAATCAACGTGTTTCCTGTATGTTTTAGGATTTGTCCTCCTCAGTGGATAAAATTCCCATACTGGCTAAAAACTCATCATCCCAACAAATATTTTTAAAAATAGACAAACAAAACAAAGTCTTCCGCTTCTGTTCTTAAATTCACTCTGAGCTATCATGGCGTCCATTTCAGGGCGAGTCGCCCTTTAAAGTTGGAAGGCCTGTATTGGTTTCTGCGTTAGAGTGATCTGTTGCAGGAGTCATTCTGTGTGAACCAGAACCAGAACCGCTCAAACACATCAGAGACAGCTGATCAAAAACATCCAGACTGGTGAGAAAACATGATGGCAGCTCCATAACGGCTGGGCTAGCTCACCAGGAGCTAAACAGCCGCGTCCAATGTCCCATTTGAAGGAAACTGTCCTCAGCGTGACTTGGTTCTGACATAACTGGACCCGATCAGATCCCTCAGGACGTTTCTGGTTCTGGGGACGTTTAGACTCAATTAAAACCGTTTAAACAGAGTTTAGAAGTAAAAACCTAAGTTTGAACGAGGAGTGAAACAGAGAACTGTGTCGTGCTCCTCCTGCAGACGGTGGTGCTGTCAGCAGTCCAGGTGGAGGTGGGGGTGCCGGTGGAGCTGACACACCAGCTCCTCTTCAGTGGGTTCTGGGATCTGCTCCCTGAAAGGTCAGACAGAAAGGTGAGTGATGAGCAGCGGAGGGTCAGGAGCCCCACCAGCAGAGAGCCAGTGTCCACCCACCTGAACATGAACTGCACTGAAGTTTCGTATCGGATCTTCTCCACGTCGGTAACAGAGCAGCTGTGGCTGCGGTCCCACTTGTAAATGAAGTTCTGCAGCAGAAATCAGAACCCATAGTCAGAACTAATCACCTTCCACCACCGTGCCTCATCTTAGAGTCTTCTGAATGATGTTCACAGATTAGTGAACAGGACTGTTCACACTGCAAACGGATTGCGGCAGAATAAAGACAGATAATAAACAGCATGTTATTCTGCAACAGTCTAAAAGAAGACATGAATAAATGGCTTTTCTTCACTTCAGGAGGAACCATCAGGCTGCACCTCTAATGTTCACATGGAGCACCATTTCAGCAGCAAAGAAGCTTCTGTTGCTTCAATTCTGATTCTTTGAATCAGAATTGAAGCAGCTTCTGCTTCTGCTGCCCCCCTGTTCAATGCCAGAGAGCAGCTTTGCTATATTTGCTGTGATCAGTGGGTTATAATTAGTGTTGCGCCGATGCCATTTTTTGGCCACAATACCAATACCCAATACCTGGCTGTGCAGTATCGGCCGATACCGATACCATAATAATGTAAAATAATTG